CTGATTTTAATGATATAAAGTTCGATAGGTTTATCTCTAACAGTTTTTGAGAAAAAAAATTATTTCGGTTTTTGTCATAAGAAACAATGTGTAAGAAAGAGACCTTTCTCAGTTTCCTTACACAGATAAAGTCCTTTTCCAACACATTGTTTCTTATGACAAAAACCGAAATAATTTTTTTCCTCGAAAACTGTTAAAGATAAACCTATCGAACCTTATATCATTGAAATCAGCGAAAGCAGAGCTTTCTAATGAACTATTAGATAATCACTGAATTCTGATTGAAAAAGTGCTCCCAAAAGGTCTTTACGGAAATGAATTATTTTCATAAACAAAAAAGTTATGGAGGTTTTACAGTATTGCTCAAAATCGAGAATCGCCCTCTAGCGGCTAAACGGTTGAAGATATCAAAATGCGGTTTGCACTAATCAAGATTTCATGAAATTTGAGCCTCAGAGTGGGGGGTCCATTTTTTTCTATCTCTAAAAATAAAGGGTGTTTCCATTAGAAAGTGTCCAATTTGGCCCACCCTGTACAGGGTGGTCAGAAAATATAAAAATATACAGGGTGTTTCCTATATATGGTTCGTTACTTCAGGATGTGATTCCTTACAATATTTTAAGACAAAAAGTTCCCATAAACATATGTCCGAAAATGCCTAATTTCTTTGACACCCTGCAAAGTTTTAAAAAATAGTATATTGTGTATTTAGGTGGAAAAGTGACACATTCTCGGCTGACGGTGTAAGTTGACGGGCGAGGCGTAGCCGAGGCCGGTAAACACCGAAGACCGAGAATGTGCTTTTCCACCGAAATACACATACTATTTTTTCTGCGATCGGTTAAATACCTGTTAAATTTTTGTCTTTTAGTTCCAATTATTCAGCAATACGAGAATCACTTTCCCGGCCTAGGCCGGAAAAGTGTTTTCCGTATTGTTATTCATTGATTCCTAAGCAACTATTGGAACATAATTGAAATACCAGAATATTGAGTTTTGCGACCTGTCAACCGGTCAAAAATGCTGACATTTCTTGTCAATCGCAGAAAAATTGGTTTTTTAGCTCAAAAATCCCATTTCCATTTTTTTTTTCCAAAATTGTGATAACAAAAAGTATCTTTTGACTGTAATATGACATGCCTAATCTGAAAAAAAATATCAAAGCTATAAAAAGATAGTGACTTCTACTTTTCCCAACATAGTTGCGGCCTCTGGGGTGCCACTGAAACAATTACGATAAATCTAATTGAGTAAAAAGATACCTTTTGCTATTACAACCAAATTTGCCAAGTTTATCGAAAATCAAGAAAGGGGTTTTTGAGCTATAAGGAAAAAAACAATTTTTTTTCAATCTTTGACACCCTATATCTCAGAAATCACGCATTTCCAGACACATGTTTATGGAAACTTTTTTTCTTAAAATATTGTAAGGAATCACATCCTGAAGTTACGATAGGAATTTAGGAAATACCCTATATATTTTTCTATTTTCTGACCACCCTGTACAGAGTGCTGCAATTTGTAGTGTTTTAACAGGAAAAACACACTTCCCGACAAAGATGTCATGGGATCGATTTTCGAGAAACGTCGATTGTCAAAAACCGTATCGCGATATCTTCAATGGTACCATTAATACAGGGCGATTTTCGATTTTCCCCTATTATGAAAAATGGCTATAAGTTTTTTATTTATCATTTTTTTTTATTTCTGTGAAAATATTATGGAGACACTTTTTTGAGCACAATCCAGTGGCGGACTCGGTTTTTTTCTCTATCGCTCCGATTCCGAGATATTGCCCAAATTCCGATATTTTCAAATGAAGCACCCTATATATCAATAGCACATTGGATAGCTCTGTTTTTGCTGATTTTAATGATCTAAAGTTCGATAGGTTTATCTCTAATAGTTTTCGAGAAAAAAAATTATTTCTGTTTTTGTCATAAGGACCAATGTGTTATCAAATCAAATCAAATAAGCTTTATTGCCAAAAAAACAAATAATGTCATAGACAAAGCAGGCCTTAAACCTAATAAAACAATTAAAATTATCTATTATCTATCTATCATAAAAAGGATAAAAATTTCAAAAAATGATCCACAACAATCGAAACCAACACAAAGAATTGTAAAAACTGAGGCAAAAACAAACAAAAAATAAAAATAAAACTTAGAAGTAGTCACGGACGTCAACTACCTATCACTCACATAATTATGTCACACAAATTAAATTAAAATGACGGTAAGAAATATATACAGGGTGTCCCAAAAAGATACCGACAAACTTTAAGGGGTAGTAGGGGACATCAAAACAAGCATTTTTGTTTATATAAACATATGTCCGCAAATAAGCCATTTGGGCTGTAGAGCAAAAAAACTGTTTGGTATCTAGTTTTATTCTTCGCAATAATTAAATCACTATTTACTTATTAATTTTGCTTTAATATCAAATAAATTATGATTTACAATAATTAATCAACTCGCGAACTCTTTGGAATATTCCGGGAATAGCTTCTACATTGGTAAAACTCGCCAGTATCCTTGCTAACAGATCTTCCTCATTACGAACAGGTGTTTCGTAGACTAAACTTTTCAGTCAATGACCCGACGGTGTAATCTTTGCATTGAAGTAAATGGTCAACATTTTGAACAATTATTGTAAACCATAATTTATTTGATAATAAAGCAAAATTAATAAGTAAACAGTGATTTAATTATTACGAAGAATAAAAGTATCAAACAGTTTTTTTGCTCTACAGCCCAAATGGCTCATTTGCGGACATATGTTCATATAAACAAAAATGCTTGTTTTGATGTCCCCAACTACCCCTTGAAGTTTGTCGATATCTTTTTGGGACACCCTGTATATACATTATATGTGCGCTACAGGAATAAAACAATAAGCACAAATTACAAAAGTCAAATCATGAAAATAAAAATAAAAATAATAATAATAATAATGATATTGGCAGAGCCAATCAATTGATACAGTCAAAATCTATCATTCCAAAACTCAGTACAGTTATAATAAGCCCTCTCAATTAGTAACCTTTTCACCATCCCTTTAAATATTTTGTTGCTTTCCACTTGTCTTATTTCCACAGGTAAGTGATTAAATAATTTCCGACTATTGTATATAATAGAATTTTTAATTTGTGTCGAGGATGGTATTGGCAGTATTATATTATAAGTTTGCCTCGTGTTATACAAACCTGTTGCATGAAACCAATTTAGCACTTTAACCTTGTCAAAACCAGAACGAATTTATTATGTCATAAGTAAAGAATAATTGCTTGGGATTCAAGCAGCCTGGAAACTTGTCAGAGAATCAATCTCCATGCAGAAAACATTCATTAAATTGTGGAAAAAATGGGTACCCAATGATGATAAATGAACTACAGAATGGATTAAAGCAGATCAACCAATGAGACCAAACCTACATCTCAAAGAAAATGACGAGGAGGGTGAAATAACAATTTGACCTATAAGACGATTATGGAGACATAGGGTCCCACGCGACTCAAATTCTTGTGCCCATAAAGCAATACTTCACAGGAGTTCTATTCGAAAAATTACCTATATGTAGATGTTGCAGGACGATTTTCTAATCCTTAGTATCCTAAATAGAGCTGAGAAAATAAAAAATAATCTAGGTATTTGACTTTGACTGACAAAAGTAACAAAAAAAGGGAGTTACGGCCATTTGCACCGCTATAACTTAAGGGATATTAAATTTAATCCAAGTGGAGCTTTGAATGTGACTCTCGTAGAAACAAAAGTCACATTCAAAAGCTCCACTTAAATTAAATATCCCTTAATACCCCTTAAGTGATAGCGGTGCAAATGGCCATTACTGATCCTAAGTTACAGTCTCATAGTCACTTCATTGAAACTTTGAATTACCGTTTTCAATAAAATATGTATGATGTCAAATTATTATAATCAAGATAATTAATGAAATAGTTTATAGAGTTTAGTAGTATAAATATTCAGTAAGATACTTGTGCTATAAGAGTTATTAGCTAATTGTAATAATCAAATGTAGTGTAGTTGTGCAAATATTGTATTAGTATGTCATTACTGTTTTTGGGTAAAATGAGTGTCACAAAGAACCAAAAGTTGGGATTTGCAATCATATAGATTGTGCCAATTATTATATCCTGATGATTAATTATTAGTTGAATGTGATTTATAATAGTTCTTACCTTGCATACAAATTGTAGGCATTTCCACATTGATGAAAAATGGCAAAACTCCTACATAATCTATGGCTTTATTCAGCATTCCAAATCCTAGTGTCGGACTCATAGAGAAGGCAGATACCATCCAATGAGCTGGCCTGAAAGCCCCAAAAAATGTATTTTCAAAATTCAAAAAATTCAAATTCTTACCTTGCTGGAACATGTACATTGAAAATATATCTGCCGTGCGGTCCAATATTGACGTCCTTCCAAACCCATACATTTTCGTATTGGCGTTGCACTCTGTTGAATCGGAATTTTCTAAATAGTGCTAGCTCGGTACTGTTTTCGTAATAACCTATAAAACATGGAAGTATTAGGACAGGGATCTAACATTGAAAATTTTTTTTTGTAAACTTACATCCTGCTTCATCGGTGCCGTCTTCACAGTCTCTATAATAGTCGCATCTTTTACTCAATCTGTAACATCTACCATTGAGGCATTCACCAAGACCTATAATACAAAAGTTATCATATATACCTATATTCTCCAAGATGTTTTGTATAAGAAACAATTAATTACCTTGAGACATATTGCAATAGTTGGGTCGCCTAGTTAGTTCAAAATCACTAAAAACAACCAATCCAGCATACTCAAAAGTACGATTGGCGTCTATTCCATAAGTACTAGATGGGAAATATATTAATTCATCTGGATAACCTGAAAACATATTTAATTAAACAAATCATATAAAGCTTCAACAAGAGTTTATTTAGTGTCATTTTCAGAATCACATTCAATTTACCTTCGTGTGACATCCAATCGTGTTTTAAAGTACCATTAATATGTTCATCGAACGTCATCATTTTAGTAATAACTTTGGCATAAGTCAATTCGTTACCAGCCTGCATTGTGTAGAACGACCGGTCGATTCCAGACAGACCCACATAAGATCCAGGTTCTCCCTAAATCACTACTTCCACTTTATGCCCAGTCCTTGCTTTTTTATTATTAATCATAACTTTGAACTTATTCCGACTAATACCGTTCACTGGAAAAGTTAAACTGTCCACTGCCAAGTCTCTGTAACGTCCCAAATGCCATACAACTATGGTGGTTACTGGAGCCATTTCGGCACTAAGAGCTATAGACATGGTACTAACAAAATCGTTCATGTCTTGATCGCCTGTCACTAGTACTATGCCTTTGGCTATGATAATATAGTTGAATTTGTCAATGTAGTAGTTGGATCTGATATGGAAAATCATAAATTCCCCTACTCTCGGTGCTAAAGTGCTAGTGGTCACTTTAATATGCTGATCGTTGGTACTATAATGAGCTAATAGTAGCAACTCAGTTGTAGCATGTTCATTCATATACTCATCCCTAAAAGTAGCCTGTATTCTCAAGGTACTCAGTTGGCTTAATTCTTCAAAGGCCCTTGGGCCGAAAATGCCCAACTCTCTTTTCAAGTCCATCTTATACTCCCAAATACCGGGCTGTTCGCTCATCATCCATAGTTTTTTGGGAGGTAAGTCCATTCTACCACCGCCACGCTTTTCCACAAAAGCTGTTACCTCCATAAAACTATTTGCCAGGCTTTCTTCGGAGAGAGGGGAACCATGATAGAATGAGGCTACTAGGTAAGTAGTTAAGGGCATGCCAGGCTTGAAGACTTGAGGAGATTCGCCCAAGAATTTTAATTTGACCTGAAAAATTTAAGAAGATACAATATGGACTAGAGTAACTATAGAATATAGTAAAAGTAAAAGGTGAGGAGCATTTAAATTAAGTTTTAATGGTTTTCAAGATTCAAAGATCACACACTTTGGGTAAATTCTAGCATGAAAACTACAATAAATACTCATTAGTAGGTATTCAAAAATAATCATAAACTATTGAAAATCCGAAGATCTTACCGATGAATTGAATATTCTTGCAATGGAATAACCTTCAATGACTTCGTCCAAATATCTATCACCAACTGTGGCAGTGATTACAATTTCCATCCCATCCAAATTGGGCGTGAATTCCAGCAAATCTCCAAAAAAAAAATTAAGATTATTTTGCAATTTTTTTTAAATGATTAATCAGTTCCTACTCAAGATAAAAAAACTTTCATAAATCTACTAAAAAGTGAATTACTCAAATATGTTATGTGAAAAGTTTGTAAGTGATCAAAAGCAACCAAAAAAATTAAAAAGAAGCACGTACAAATTTTAAACTTGGTACCGATTCCCAGTACTGGTTCGGCGGCATCCACGCCGGAAACTCTTCAAGAAAATTGTAGTACTTTTCTATGACCGGCTTATTGTATTGATCATAGTTGTCATAATAATTATCCAACTGTCTTTGCCTGTTGAGATTACCATCGTAAGGAAAGTTCTGCCTGAAAAAAAAAAATAGATCATGTATCAAGAATCAATTCATTTTAAAATTCGCAAATTTCCTATCATAACATAGGTAAGTCAAAAACTAAACTAAAAGTTCAATTAAACTTACCTATTATAAGGATCTTCACCAAACCTCCTATGATAATCGTCGGGTTTCCAAAAATCATTTGGCCCATACGGATTGTACAAATTGCTCTCAATAGGTCTCGGTCTGTTCTTTTTCAGCATTCTATTAACATCAATAGGCTTAATATGTCTAACCGAAGCTTTGAGAGTTAAGTTTCCACGTACTGGAGCGCCACTAGTGTAATTCGCCATTACTATACCAGTAATAAAAGGTTCAGTGTTTAGGAAAAATGCTGGCATGGTAACGTTCACTTCAAATCTAGTTTGGTAATATTCTTCAATCATGAAAGTGGATTCTTCGCTTCTTGATTCTTGAGCGATTGCTCTGATTTTCCATTCTCCAAAAGCTGGTTGATCGGAGAGCTGGTAATCCAAGCTAACAGTGCCGAGATTCGACTGTCGCGAGAGCCACCTTTTCAAAATTCGGCCATTAGGATCCAACATATAAACATCTATGGCATCATTGAAAGCTTTCAGTTCAGTGTTAATAGGGATAGTTCTAAAACGAACCGTTTCTCCTTGCATATACACAGGCTTGTCCAACTGTATAAAAATCGTCATGGATCTTTGAGAAAACGTCAATTTTGTCTCGTTAGAAAACGCTACGCCCTCTAAAATATCTTCATACAATCCTTCTACACGAAGTTTGTATTCTCCAGAGGCACTAGTAGTAGGCACTTGCATCAAAAGTGTTTCAGGAATACCCTCTTTAACGTCCTTATGATCCGTTGACATTTCAACGCCATTGCGCGATATCGACGCTCTAACTATGAGAGGTTGTTTTTCTTTCAAAACTGTTACAGAGACTCTGTATAATTGACCTGGTCTGACCATTTTTGAGGCTACCACAAAGTAAGTGGCTTCTTTGATGATGGCAGCATGCTCGATCTTTTCACCGCCATAAACTAATGGGTTTCTATAGGGAGTGTAATCGTAGGCACCATTTTGGTTGTTGTCGTAGGGATCAGGACCAAACTAAATAAGAACATCAGATCAGAGTTAATCGAATTAGTGCTTAAGCCAGGAATCCAGTCAAAATACAATAGAAATGTTCTGCAATAATCTGATCATCAGCTATTAACAATATGAAGTTCATACCTGATTGCTTCTATCTCTGTCCTTATTGTAGGCATCTTGACCATATTGGTCCCTATTTCTATTGTAGGAGTCGGTAGAATCCATGCCATAGTGTGGATCATTGGGGTCCCCTGCAGGGTTATATCTGAAAAGAAACACATAGTTAAATCGAGGTAAAAATGTTTTAAAAAATACTGGGGGATTCAAATATGATTTTTTAGATGATGTATCAAGGGTGGTGTCTACCTAGCAAAAAATATAGCTCTAAATTTGCATTTCTAAGTTGAAAAATAAACACGATTGATAAAAATAGTTATTTACCTAACAAGTGCGGAAAGTGGTACTTTTCCGAGACGTCGAGGGTGGAAAAGACATTTTCCGCAAGAGTTAGGTACAATATTTTTCCTACGAGTGCTTTTGTCCATCTTATTTATCAAAAAAAATGTTCCAATACGCAAAGATTTTATAATGATGGTACAAAATAGCACATAATATAAAATAATACAGGGTGTCCCACGGTGGATGGCGTATTAGACGTTAATTTACGTTATGTTTTGTGAGTTTACAAAAAATTTTTTTTTTAAAAATTGATCGGAAAATATGAAAATACAATTTTTCAGATATCAACCAAATATGTATTCCTTTCAAATGGGACACCCTATATCTTTTCACATGACTTAGCTGATCTTTTCGCAAGCTTTTCCTTCCATATTAGTAAGTAAGCAAAATTTAAAACCACACAAATGATATTTTGGTTGAAAGTATTTCAGAAAAATTCACAATAATTAGTTGAAAGTTTATTTACTGTCAAAATTTTGTATGGTCAGGGTCATTTTATTTATTTTCCCACCCCCCCTTAACTCTTTTGTGCCACTGTGTATAAAAAAAATTTAAATAGGAAAGTTGTAATGCTTGAAAAATAGTTCTCAGAAAACATAGTTTTGTTCATACAAGGTGTTGCAAAAAGTTTAAAAAACATGGGACACCCTGTATATCATGACATTTCTGGATTCTGCGGAAAATTCTAGACATAGCTCATGTATAATGTCATATACCTAACTTCACTTGTTTCAGAAATAATGACACTAGAAAATTGACTTTTTTGCATCTTTGACAGACTGTAAAACCTAACTAATTGATTTTACAGCAAAACCGATCATACATGCTTTTTCTATTTTTTTATAAAATATCATTTGACACCAACTTTGAGTTTAATCCATGATTGAAAATTCCAATTAAATTTAATTTCCGGTTAAATTCAAAGTTGGTGTCAAATGCTTGCTTGTGAAAAGCTGTCGACAAGAATGTAAAATCGGTGTTGCTGTAAAATTAACAGTTTAGGTTTTACAGCCAATCAAAAGTGCGAAAAAGTCAATTTTCTACTGTCATTATTTCCGAAACAGTTTAAGATAGGTATATGACATTATACATGAAATATGTCAAGAATTTTCCGCAGATTCTAGAAATGTCATAATATACAGGGTGTCCCATTTAAAAACATATATTTTTTGTTTTTCAAAATTTTTGCAACACCCTGTATGAACAAAACTATGTTTTCTGAGAACTATTTTTCAAGTACTTCAACTTTCCTATTTAATTTTTTTTTATACACAGTGGCACAAAAAAGTTAAGGGGCGTGGGAAAATATAAAAAATGTCCCTGTACACTGGGAGCTCAAATCGGGGTTAGTAATTTTTTAACTATTTTTTTTTATCCCAATGGTACATTGTTAAATAAGCCTTAACGGCTATTCAAAATTGTAATAAAATATAAGGTGTTCCACTTGAAATTAATTTAAAATATTAAAAAAGAAAATAAAGATATTAAAAAAATTATAGCAATAAATTGAAATTGCTTACAAACAAATTAAAAATCAAATGGACAAGAAGGAAAATAATATAAATTTTCGTTATTTTTCTGGGTTCTTAAAATCGGTTCAATAAGGTTTAGATTTTCAAAAGAAAATGAAACCAACAGAGTATTTTCATGTCGATTGCCAAAGTTTTGTTCTATATATAATCCAAGTTCACTGTCATAACTAATAGTTATTTTATTTCCAACAAATATTAAATCCTGCAAATTTTCATTTAAAAAAATATACTTAATTTTTAATAACAAAAATTCACCAAACACAAATGCATTCCAACCTTATAAGATATACCTCTGTATATGGTGGATTCTACAATATATTTATGCTGGTTTGTTTTATACTTTTCTCTTAGGTGTTCCACTAAATACTGAGGATAATCTTTTTCATTATAAACCTCAACATCTTTATCACAATAAGCTGAATTGCTGTATAGCAAATCTGTGTTTGAACCATAGTTTAGCGCTTGCATATATTGATGTTTTTCTGCCATTGTCTTTAAAATATTTATGAAATTTTGTGAATGTTTTATAATATTTTTGAAATACCTATGTTTAGACTCGAATCTAAGTGTCCACAAGTGCCGCAAGGGTCCGAAACATTTGATTAAATATGGATAGTGACATAAAAAGTGATGCTTAGGCTTCAATTTATCATCGGGAAAAGACACAGATCTTTCAGAAATATATTCAAAAATTAGTGACTTTAAAAAAGCTATGTGTTCTACAGTCAGATTAAAAGACAAAACTATATTAACTATTGTTCTCATTTTATGAAGTAAGACCCAGGCCTTTTCAAATCTTGAAATGTTAGCTTTAGTATACATAGCAAATGGCAAACAATTCAGAACATAAAGATTTTGTGAAGCATTTCCACCTAACTTGTCCGACTTCTTGATCGGAGGAAAGCTTTGCCTTGGTTTGAATTCAAAATTCAAGTCGTCTAATTCTTTGTTTATTTCACTATAGGTAATTTTTTTTTTGTTTAACTAAATAGTTTAAATATACCATAGTATCGATTGCTACTACACCCTCCAGTAAATCATGAGCTAAGCATGGTGGCAATCCTGGTAAGCATACATGAAAATATTGGAGTTCGTTTAAAACTGAATTTGTTTTGACTCCATTACTGATGCCATTAAAGCTTGCCATGTTTGCATCACATTCATAGTTTTCTTTAGTTCTTAGCTTTCCAAATAAACAATTATTGTTTTTTCTGTCAGGAAATTTAGATATATCACAGTAGCGACAAAAGCGTGTTTCAGTGCTAAAGCTTTCGACAAAACCTCCTATTTGATGGCTACCAAGATTATCACCTACAACAGCAATTAGAAAACCTCTAAAATGAATTCCTTGAAATTCAAAACCAGCAGTTTCGAGAAGTTTTAATTCATCTATAAGAGGTTCTAGGATTTTGGAAAATGAAAATAATTTAATGTCTTTTTCATGAGACAAAGACACTAACTGAATGTGTTCAACCTGAGACCTATGCCAAGGATGCAAATTTGCAAGTAGCATATAAATTCCTACAATTTTGTATTTAGTTTTTGCAGAACCTAATGGATTGCAGGGTTCGAAAGCATCCTGGTAGAGAATGAGTCTAAGCCTATTAGGTGCATTAAAAAATGTCGACGTCTTAAAACAGCTTCCATCAGTTATATCAGAAAAACAATTATCGTTTTGGTGATTCACAGCTTCACTTGCAACACATCTAGCGAACACATTACTATTTTTTAACATGCATTTTAATGTTTCTATAATTGGCACATAATAAAAAAAGTGCTCTTTTGATCCTATAAATCCAACTGAAACTTTCTTAGGTTCAACATAATCGAAATTTTTCTTATAATAATTATTTCTACAATATTTCGTTCTCAACATTCCATTCTCTCTATTATGGAGATTATCAAACAAGAATGCCTTTTTCACATCATCAACCACAGCTGACGCAACTCCAGAGCTTTCGAGCTTTTTAACAATAAAATTTGAATGAATATTGCTTAAATCTAAAAAACTGCTGATTAAAGTTTGTAGTGCCTTATCAGTAAGAAAGTGCTTTGCTTGCAAATTAAGGTATAGGGATGACACTGCTTTTTCAGTTAGATCTTTAATATTTACAATTTCATTTATTTCATCCCCAACGCTAGCTGATACAACGTCATTCACTACAGGTTCATCATTGCAAGTATTTATATCACCTAAATGATTGTTCACATTGTCATCAGTTAGGTGGTGATTGAAAGTAGCTTGTGAAAAACAGTGTTTACGTGTATAATGACTTTTTAGACTATTAAAATTTTCATATTTCAAGGTACAATTTGGATAGGGGCATCTGATATGAATGTTTTCCGATTTTAAATGCAATTTGCAATGTATCATCATATCTTGTTGTCTGATGGAACAATAGTCACAGCTATTAACTTTACATCTCAATATTAGGTTTGTTGTTAAAGAAGTCTTGGAAGAAACAAAGTGATGTCTGCTTACATGTAACCTGTAACTATTGTAGGTCTTAAAGCGTAATTCACAATTGTTTCGTATACATAAAAAAACACTGTTATTCCTATGTAAGTATAAATGTTTATCATATTGTCGAAAACTTGCACATTTAAAATTGCAAAAGTGACAGTCAAAGCTCCCCATTATGTACAAGATAATGTTCGTTTCGTGTTTTTTGATAATATTCTATTATAATTTTTAACAGGGTTGGCAAGTAGGTACAGGTTTTTTGGAACTTAGGTTATTTGTTTGAAAAATCTGTTTATAATATCAGAATAGTAATTTTATTTGTCACTCATTTGTAAAACGTCAATTATCAAGTCAAAACATAACCAGCGAAAATTGATTTTTACAAGATACTGGCTCTACTGACTTGTAAAATTGACAGCTAAACTGTAAAAACTTTTTACAAGTCAGTAGAATCATTTATTTTTGAAAAATCGGTTTTATCACAAGAATAATTATTGCTTGTAGGTACCTTCTGGGAGACTTTTCTGGTGATAAACTGTTGGCTACGACTGAGGCTTCATTAATAATATCTTGTAATAAATTCATTTCTGGAAAAAAATTGCAAAATGGAAATCTGTCAAAAAACCTATTTATAACTAGAAACAACGTCTTAACAACGTATCATTCTCATAGTTATACCAACTACCAAAACTTCTGTGAGAAAAAATCAAGGAAAAACATATAAATTTAAAATTTTTGTTATGTATTGATTTTTTATTTGTCCCTATATCTTTTA